ACCTAAGAAAGGGAGAACCAGAGATTATATCGCCCAGAGACCGGCCATCCGAAGCGGAAAGCTCATTTGCATCGTCTTCACTGCTGTTGGCATAACCTTCTTCGTTGGCAGCACCATCGTCGTGGTTGACCGTACGACCCCCATTGTCACTTTTGCAGCTGGAGGCTGCCTTATCTGCCCAGTGTCCAGATATGCCGGTTGTGCTAATCGACTCAAAGTGATCGCTGTCATAGACCGGAGAGGTGGTCGACTCCTGAAGTGTGGATGATGAGACGGTGGACCGGCCGGCAGTTTCTGAGATATTAATCTTTAGTGGTCAATAAAAGAGTGGTTTGGCATAGAAGCAAAAATAAAAAAATTGGAAATTCATGCGAAAGCTGGTTTAACCCTATCCGATCCTTAATTCGGAAGTTATAGGATCAGTAAAGTAAAATACTATTTTTGTAAATAGATGAGAAGATATTGAGCATAATCCGCACTCACTTCATCGGCATCGACGATATTCACAGACGCATCTGGATTCAACGAAATGGACAGTCCTACATTCTCGAAAATGCCCTGGGTCTTAAAAGGATCAACATTGCCTAACGGCCTATTTATGGCTGCTAAAATGGATTCTTCATGTGACCGAGTATGTCCTGTCTTCCCTGTCAACACCATCGTCGAGTTAGCACTGGGCAAGGTCATTATAGGCTCATGACAATCGCCAGCATCATTACAACTGTAGCTAGTGGTACCACTGACTCCGGACAGACTGAGCTCGTTGGCCACCAAGTGTTCAGCCAGCCTGAAGCTGGCTGTATCCAGCTGGTGCACAATGTCGGTTAAAAGCCAATCTATCAATTCGTTGGCCATCCAGTCGCAGACCATTTGTGGAGGCAAGAAGACCCCAGATGAAGGTTGGCCACTCGGAAGGATAGGACCAAGACTGGAATCAATGGATAAAAATAATGGAAAGAAAACAAAATAAAATAGAATGACAAATGTGAAAATTAAAATCATATGCTGAACAGAAGTATCCTTAAAAGAGATGTACTAATTACGACAGTCAGCACATGGAAAAAAATGCCGAGTCAGCATAAAAAAATTACGTCTATGGAGCAAAACGAATTATTACAAAAAAAGTTTAGATATAAGAACAAATTAAAAAATAAGATTGTTGGTGTTAAAATAAACAAGTAAAATTTAAAAAGGCTCATCAATTAAATAAGCTTGCAATTTTATTTAAACTAAAATCTCACCTACTTAAATAAAAATAAAGTAACGTTATACAGTCATGGTAAATTTATACGACAGGACAAGACTGAAACTACATAATTTGGTAAATTGTAAGTATGAAGACCAAGATAGTGTGGCCTTTTTTAGTGGTCGCAGTCTCCTTCCGTTGTGTAGAAGTTATTTGAACTTGTTTGCGCAACTTGGTCATATTTGTAGGGAGACTTATAGGAACACACCTTGTCCTGAGTCCATTGTATGCATAATTAACTCCTAAGTCGGACCGTGGACGTTTCGCCGGCATCGTAGTCAGCATCGTCAGTGAGTCTCGCCATTCGTAGCACCATATTACAACTCATCAAATGGACAAGTGAAGGCCATCCTTTGACCAAACGTGTGCTAAACAATTATGGTATCTCGCCTTCTGCCCTGGCTTATTCACATTTCCTATATCCTCCTATCATGCCTTCCCTGTCA